CCCGGAGGGGCGGCCGCCCCCGGGGCCGCGGGCGACCCGGGCCCCGACGTGACCAAGGGTGCCAAGACCGAGGGGAGCCCGGTGCCCGAGCCCCCTGCTTCCATGCTCAGCGTGGACGTGCCGGGGCTGCTCTCGCAGTTCGCGCGCAGCTTCGTGCTGCTCTTCCCCGTGTACGCGCTGGGCTACCTGGGGCTGAGCTTCAGCTGGATACTGCTGGGGCTGGGGCTGCTCTTCTGGTGCCGGCGGAACAAGGGCCACAAGACGTCCCGCCTCTCCCGAGCGCTGGCCTTCCTGGAGGACGAGGAGCAGGCGGTGCGCCTCAGCGTCTGCTCCTCCGACCTGCCCGCCTGGGTGAGTGGCCAGCCCGGGCCGAGCGCCGTCCACGCGCGGCGCGCACCTCCCTCCCGAGCCGCGGGGCGACCACGACCTGCTTATGTAAAGCGGCTCTCCCACTGCCAGCCCCGGTGGGAGTCACTTGGCTGCCACCGCCCACCCTCGCTTTCCGAGCCGCTGTCACTGTGGACCCTCTGCAAAAAGCGCCTTCCCTTCCGCTCGTCCCCTGTCTGGTTAATCTGGAGGCAGAGACGGACTGAAGCTAGTTAATGTGCGTTCCCTTCGTTACTTTAGGCCACATCTTTGCCAGAAAAAAATCAAGGCTTTTCCTATTAGAACCCAGGCTTATCTGCGTGGTGGAAATGACTACTGCAGTTTGGTATGTGGGTGATGAGTACTTGGTTCTGGTGTTCAGAACCATTAGGGATTCTTTCGGCCGTTTTGCTGCCCTAGGCCTGGAAAGGATTCGCCTTTGGTTTTCTCCGTTTTAGAAAAGAATGTAGTTGAATGGGATATTTTCTTCTGACAGCCGATGAGGGAGAACTTAGGTGTTTTTTTTCCCTCCACCTAGATTTCATTTATTTTCTTGTTTCCCCTTTTCCCTGACAGAATTGAAGAGCAGCACATCGGTAGAGTTGCTTTTATTAGAGTAGTTGAAAGTTTTTCTTCTTTACAAATAACACTGTAAGACTGAAGTGTACAAATGAGCAGTTTTGTATAGGGTCAACTCCCATCCAGTGTGATTGGTGTTTTATTTTGATTGTCAAAGGAAGTTTTGGAAGGGTTGCTCTAATTAGCAGGAATCATATTATCATGTTAATTACCTCAGGCAACCCCCTGCATGATGGTGGGAACTAATAGAGCTGGGGTCCTCATCTTTCTCCTTGCTCCCCAGTTTTTCTTTGGCCATGAGTTAATGTCACAGTTTCAGACTGCTGGAAAGAATATGTATTTTACTATAAAGGGTGTTCCACATTAGGCTTAATATAAACTTCCTTGTGAAAATGGCCAGCTGGTGAGTTTCCTAAGGGTCATTTTCTCATGGAGGAGAAAAGGCTTCAGAAACTGTTCCCAGTTTCCAGTCATAAGGCATGGCGTATATGACACAGAAGACAAAAACGTATTAGAAAGCAGGAGTGCCACAGCCAAGGAGGTTCTTAACCTTCCCTTTGATACACGAGCCTGTAATACAGTTCCTCATGTCGTGGTGACCCCCAACCATAAAATTATTTTTGTTGCTGCTTCATAACTAATTTTGCTACTGTTATGAATTGTCATGTAAATATCTGATATGCAGGATGTATTTTCATTGTTATAAACTGAACATAATTAAAGCATAGTGATTAATCACAAAAAACAATATGTAATTAAATATTGTGAAATATTTATTTCCAATTACAAATAAATGAAGTTTTGTCTTGAAGCATGGTGTAGTACGGGTAACAATCCTAATATAACAACAGTAAGCTACAGTGCTACATTTTGTGACAGTATGTGTAAAAAGCCAACCTCAGTGCAAAGGTGGAGATAGCTTCCTTCTCACAAGATCAGCACATCTGCATGGGGGTGAACCCACTTGGGGACGGATAGAGGAGCAGTGTCTCGTTTCCTAAGACCAGTGGAAATATGTGTTTACCGATGGTCCTAGGTGACCCCTGTGAAAGGGTTGTTTGACCCCCAAAGGGGTGGCGACCTACAGGTTGAGAACCGCTGTACTAAATACTGTTTTGTGATTACAAATAGCGGTGGGAGTAAGAATATAATATCGTAAGGATATTAGAGTTGGGAAAAGTCACAGTCTTTGGTGTGGTAGAAAAGGAGCCCTGCTGGCATAGTGGTTACATGTTAGGCTGCTAACGGTAAGGTCAGCATATGAAACCCCAGTGACTTCACTGGAGAATGCCTGGCTTTCTATTCTGCAAGGAGTGAAATGCTCAGAAACGGACCAAACAGACGGGAGTACTGCTACCCTGTCCTATAGAGTCACTAATGAGTTGGCATAGGCCCAGTGGCAGTTTGTTTTGGTTTTGGGTGTGGCAGAGCACTGGGTTTGAAGCAGAAAAACCAGGTGTAGAACCCAGGAAGTTCAAGTGATCAAGCTGGGAAAGACTTTCATTGATGAAGCCTGGTGTTCGTCAGACAGTTAAGATATGACAAAATAATAATTTATAAATTATCAAGGGTGCAACGGGTGGTGGGTAGCAGGGAGGGAGGGGAAAAATGAGACTGATGCCAGGGGCTTAAGTGGAGGACAAATGTTTTGAGAATGATGAGGGCAACGAATGTACAAATGTGCTTTATACAATTGATGTATGTATGGATTGTGATGAGTTGCATGAGCCCCCAATAAAATGATTAAAAAAGAAACATGGTGTTTATCTCAGAGTAAGGAATTTATGCTCTCCAAAATTTGTCACTTGGTTATTCCAGTTTTGTGTTTGCCCTCATATCTTACAGGTGTTTCAACATGTCTATATTGCTTAGTAAACTTATGGAAGAATAAAAGAAACTTGACAGTAATCCTCTCTAGGAATGACACTAGGGAGCCTGGGGTTTGAGGGAAGTTTAGTTTTGCCTGTTTTTTTTTTTTTAAATGATAAGAAACCAGTTGCCTTGAAGTCAATTTCCCATTCATGGTGACTGACCCCAGGTGTGTTAGGGTAAAACCATAGGGTTTGCAATGGATGATTTTTTCCATTCGTGGTGCCTCCATGTAGCCTCAAACTTCTAATTTTTTTATTTAAAAAAAACCTCAAATGCAGTGCCAGCAAGACAGTTTTGACTCAAAGCAATCCTAGAGGACAGAATAGAACTTCCCCTGTAGTTTTCTGAAATGATAAATCTTCATGGGAGTAGAAAGCCTCATCTTTCTCCAAGGAGTGGCTAGTGGTTTTGAACTGGTGACCTTGCAATTAGCCCAGTAAGTAACCCATTACACCATACCCAAGTATTATTTAATAATAAAGCCAGTAGATTGTACTGTCTTGCAGTCAGTGTGCTCACTATCTTGTTACATCTAAGAGCAAGTCAATAGTAGAAGGCATACTGTACATACTCGAGTATAAGTCAACCTGAATATCAGCCGAGGTACCTAATTTTACCACAAAAACTGCAGCAAAAATGTGCTGAAAAAGTCGGCTAATACTTGAGTATATACTGTATATAAGAGAAGTTAAAATCCCAGTGTTCAACATTGTTTTTTTTTACTTTACTTAGGTTCTTGGGATTTCTGAACTCCAGCCTGGTGTTTTTCTTTGAATTAGATATATTTGTACACCCCAAAGATGTGCACATTTTCTTTTTAAAAAAATCATTTTATTTAAATGATTTAAACTCTTATCAAAATCCAT